CTAGTTTTGAGGAATTGAAGCATCGATTGGTTACCGCACCTATTCTTGTATTGCCGTCTGGCACTGGTGGGTTTCAAGTTTATAGTGATGCTTCAAAGAAAGGTCTCGGTTGTGTTCTTATGCAACACAGAAAAGTGATCACATATGCTTCTCGTCAATTAAAGCCTTATGAGGTCAATTATCCGACTCATGATCTTGAATTGGCTGTAGTGATCTTTGCACTTAAGATCTGGCGTCATTATTTGTACGGTGAGACCTGTGAAGTTTTCACTGACCATAAAAGCCTCAAATACATCTTTACTCAAAAAGAGTTAAATATGCGTCAACGAAGATGGCTTGAACTTCTGAAAGATTACGATGTTCAGATACAGTATCATTCGGGCAAAGCTAATGTAGTCGCTCACGCTTTAAGCCGTAAAGCTGTGGAACAAGTTTCTTCTTTAATTGTTTCTACAGAGTTGGCTTTGGAATTCAAACGGTTCGGACTAGAAATCTATCCGAGTTCGCAAACGGAAATTCTATCGAATCTAATGGTAGAATCGACTCTAATATCTCGGATCAAAGAAGCCCAGCAAAATGATAGTGAATTATGGGCAAATTTCCAACAGACACAAGAGAATTCTAGTTCAGAGTTCAGAATTGATGATGATCACGTGTTGTGATTTCGGGATCGTCTTTGTGTTCCGAATAACTCGGAGCTTAGAGATCTAATTCTGACCGAAGCTCATAACCCTATGTTTTCGGTTCATCCTGGCACAACAAAAATGTATCGCGATTTGAGGAACCATTTCTGGTGGATTGGAATGAAGCGAGATATCGCCGACTTTGTAGCTCGTTGTCTCACTTGTCAACAAGTTAAAATTGAACATCAACGTCCGGGTGGTGTTCTCCAATCGTTGAACATTCCAGTAGGGAAATGGGAGCACATARYTATGGATTTTGTAGTCGGATTACCCCRTACGATCTTGAAACACGATGCAATCTGGGTAGTGGTAGACCGACTGACAAAATCGGGTCATTTTCTTCCTGTCCGACAAACTTGGTCAATTGATAAGTTGACCGAAGTTTTCCAACGTGAGATTGTGCGTCTTCATGGCACACCTGTATCGATTACTTCCGATCGAGATTCACGTTTTACATCTCGATTTTGGGAAGGCTTACATAAAGCTTGGGACACACGTTTGAATTTTAGTACAGTATTTAATCTGCAAACTAATGTAAGTTCCCTATCTCTAAGTTCAATTTCGGGGACGAAATCTCCTTTTTAAGAGGGGGAGAATTGTATGACCCGAATTTTAAAAACACATTATCGTTAACTTACCGTATTTAAATAACGATCGTTAATTGTTGAGGGTTAAAACCGTCAAATTACTAAACTTATTATAATTGTAATATTATAATATATATATATATATATATATATATATGAGTGTTAACGAAATTAAAAAAAACCATATGCATCCTTCGTTTTTCTTCTTCAACCGCCTCATCTCTCTCTCAAAATTTTCTTCTTTCTAAGATATTTTTCAAATCGTTCAAGCAATCGAGGTAACGATTATATATTCTGAATCCACTCTTCGAACCCTTCATAAAGGTATAAATTTCATTCACTTTTATTAGGGTGTTTACGTTAGCATTTTTAGACTGATTTATAAACTATGTTATGTCTAAATTTACGGATTGATATTGTTATAAGTATGATATATTTCAAGTTTAGAATGCTAGGATTGATAAAATTGATGTAGAAATTAAAAGGGTAGATTATGGTTTCATTATGGTTAAATTTGGTGTATATGTTTAACGGTACACCAATTGTTCGATATAATGCCGAAAAGAGTAAAATTGCATGATTAAACTTAGGTTAACGACCATTAGACTTGTTTTACGGTTTAGTATGTTGAAGTATGTTTATAGCATGTAAATGTAGCGAATCATGAGAGTTGAATTATAAAAGTTAGTCGGGAATTCCGGAATCGGATTTTACCGATTATGCAGGTCCATACTTTGACAGTGTATAACTTACAAACCGTAAGTCGGAATAAGCTCATATTTTACAGTTAGAAAGCCCTTAATGTATACTACAACTTTCATGTAGGGTCGAAAATCCAGTTATGAATCTAAGTGGCCCAAAAGTGTGTTTTCGGGGCTGTTTGCAATGTATTTAGGATTGATCTGCTGTTTTGTAATATTCGTATAAAATAGATGGATAATCCAAATGAGGTGATTTGAGAACCAGTAGTTTCATCGCATATCATACTACATCTTTCGTTTAAATAGTATATTCTGTATTGGTCTCTAAGTGGGGTAAAGATGCTCCCGAAAATGAGGGTCAAAAGCTATTAAAAGTCGAAACGGAATTATATAAAGCTAAGTGTTGCGTGGATTTCGTAATACATATTCGGCTGTCGTATTTGAAGCTTAAGTTGTTTATAAAATGTAGACCTAAGTAGTTTATTAGTAGAATTAAGATATGATCTTACGTTGTTTAAGTAATAAYCGATTTGCGCTTTCGTTAGGCACGCGAGCAAGTCGAACTTTACCGTGAATCTCGTTTGATCGTGCTTTACTTCTCTATTCCGCTTAAGGTACGGATTTCATTTTTTTTGACTCTTGGGCAACTAGTTGTTGTAGTTGACCATTCATAATGGTGGTTCACCACTTTGTGATTGATTGCTTAAAAGTGGTCAATAAATTACGTACTTATAAATTATATATATATATATATATATATATATATAAACTCTTGAACCTTTATCGTAAACTCTTAAATCTTTATCGTGAACACTTGATTTTCAGTTCGTTGAATTATATGTTTGAATCTTTCAATTTTGTTAAATTGATTGTCATATTTTGAAGTAGTTTGGAGTTTTATGAAGTACTTTGAAAATTGACTTTTTATGAACGCCATTCGGATAGTAGCACATGTTTAGTTTTATTGGTTTTCAGAACAACTCAATTAATGGGCGCATTATTTGGGATGCCTTCTATGGCGGCTTYGTAGTCATGGCGTCCTGCAGGTGAACTCGATCCACAGGGTTAGGCCCAATAGTGGCTTACGTGAACCCACCTTGTGGACTAGGCCGATTTTATTGGCTCCAGGGCGGATGGATCGATCCTAGGATTACCCACCATGTGACCGTGGTTAAATTCACGGGGGACTCGGGGTGTGTGCCCGCACGCCGGCCCGATAGTTCGTGTGGTTTGGCCACCCCACGAACACTACAAGAATTGACGGATTGTGTTTAAATGATGTTTTGAAATGAAAACTGTGAAACGTCTTGATTTTCTATGAATTCAGTTTCATTGATTTTTAAGTCTTCCGCTTTATTATCGATGTTACGTATTATTAAGTTTATATACAATCTGTTCACTGAGCCCTGTGCTCAGTCGTGTTCTTGTTTTCTGACACGACAGGTTCCAAGTGATTCTGATAAGGGACGGGACTTGAGATCGAGCGTTTGACTTTTTGGAGTTGGTAAACTCGTTGGTAGATGTATAATATTCTAAACTTATAAATAGTTGATAGAATGTAATATTTTTGGATTGTAAAGCATGTTTTAGAAGTTAATATACGTTTGGAGTTTATTAGTAGCTCTGCAATGTTTGTGTCTTAGAATTAAGTCTCGTTAGTGACACCGCCCGTTCCGGACCACGGGGATGGGGGATGTTACACAACCACAATTCAAGAAATGAAGATTACTCAATTATTTGGGTGCGACATCAATGTTGTGGTCTTTTACTTTTATATCTAAATTTATTTTTAACTGTGTATTGCACTATATTTTACCATTTGGTTGGTTTTGATTCCAACCATGTTTATAGATTTCATAGCATTTATCATTCATTTATACATCCTTCATATTCTTCCAAACTATCATCTCTCCACTAGTATGCAATGATTAACTCAATCTTATTGCAAGATGATTGATATTTTATGAAATGAATAATTTGTTTTCAACTTTATGTTTTGCATGATATTTAAGTGTGTTTTGCATAATAATTTGTTTTCAATTATTTGTTTTACATGATATTTTAACTCTGTGTTTTACACCATAATTTTACCATTTTGTTTCACTTATAATTTTGCACTATAATTTATAATTTTTAACATTTGATTGGTTTTGATTCCAACCATGGTTATAAATTTCAAAGAGGGTTATCCAAAATAAGACGATCCTTAATTATGAATTAAACCTTATGAATCGATCAAAGTTATCTAATCCACCTTTCTTATACACATCACTTTGTTTAAATATTCCAACCCTTCACCAATATAAGACAACTAACGATCAACCACAATTCACCATTTGAAAAATACTCAATTCTCATTGTGCCACAAAGATTTTCTTTTTATATATATAAAGATTATATGTAATGGTTATTTAAAATGATAATAGAAAATTTCTAAAAGTTGTGTTTTAGTTATATAAATCCAAAAAAATTAGTATTATATATGGACGTGTTTCAATTGCAAACCACGTGATTCTAAGAAACTGATCTCCACCATCCAATATTTTCATCAACGGCCATCAAATGAACCGGTGGCATAATGTAAATAAATGGTCTATCATGTTTCCATTTTAATTAATTGAGAGGGAGAAGTCACAGAAACAGTGGTGAAGATAATCAAGAAACCAATTCACGCGGAATCATGAACGAGGTTTGATTGTATTACCTTCTTTTATTCGTTGTTGAGCCGATTAAATTAGGGTTCTTCCCCGAATGCAGGTCGGAAACGGAGTGAAATAATCATGATATAGACATCGTTTTTGAACTTCAAAACAGTGCAGAAATCCAGCGCTCCCGAGACCAAGACGATGGCGATGATTTCTGAAACAGTTAGCTTCATGCATTCATGAAAAATTGATGATGATGGAGACGATGGTGGTGATGCAAAAATCCAGTTAGCTGAAACCCATTCATGAAACATTTAGCTTCATGCATTCATAAAAAATTGATGGTGTGCAGAAACCCATTCATGAAACAGTTAGCTTCATCCATTCATGAAAAATTGATGGTGATGATGCAGAAATCCAGTGACCCATAGCTTATCAGCTTAAGTTTTATACGTCTTTTTTTGTCATAGCTTATCAGCTAGTCTTTGTCAAAACGTCAGCTATCAATTAGTTTGCTAAACATAGTCATCAAGGTCATTCTTGAATATCAACATAACTTTGTCATTATTAATTGATGATTTAACTCGTCTATTAAGATCCTCTGAATGCAGAAATGTTGCAACATATAAATAATACACATGAACCATATACTGGATTTAACTTGTCTATTAAAATCCTTTGAAATGTAGCACCCTATGATAGTCAAGGTGTCTCGTTCAACGACTTGATTAATGTAATGTATACTGGTTTTAGTCATCATTTATATGCTCAAGATTCGGTCTCTCGGGTTTCCTTCAATCAAATGGCATTCGATGTTCCTTTAAAGTTGTTCACAAGCCAAGAAACACATTCTAAAACCAAACTTTGTGACTTTTCTTTTATTCCAGCTCAAGAAAATTTTGGGACGACATCGTTCAAGTCCGTATTCCCCTATTCAAAAGGAGAAAATTTGATCTATGATATTACAAAAGACATCTTCCTTGGTTTTTAGAAAAGCTCCAAAAATCAATGAAACCAAAATGCTTGCACTAGATAAACTAACATTTCAAATAATCTAACCTGAAAATTTCTGTCAAGATCATTTAGACTTTCTCTGTTCAGAAACCCGGGCTCCTGCAATCTTGCAAACAGGTTCGTCCTTGGACCGAGCAAGCTTCAGAGCGGGATGAACTTTGAGATCCCCCATCACTAACTTCTGACCCACATCCAACTCACTAAGATCTACCTCAATGAAGGGGGGAATTATGTCTGCTGGACAAATGAACTTCACCGTTCTCTTGATGATGTTTAGGTAAGACCCTGCCAACGTTATTCAAAAGTAAACCAAAACCGAAGAATAAAGAAAGCTACTCCTTAAAACAAATGCCAAAATCTATGTTTTAAACCATGCAATGGCAATAACCTGATGAACCAATGTTGCTCAGCTTTGTTAGGGTTAGGTAATTTATGTTCGTACAGAACATACACGTAACATTCATATGGTAACCAAAACCAAAACCGACCCAGTAAATCCCACTCAAAAGTAGGGTCTGGGAGCGGGATGTATGCAAATCTGACATTTACCTCAAAGAGTATGATGGTTGTTTCCGTGAAGACCACATGCTTGTGCATATGTGTGAGAAACAACATTCATATGGTGTGTTGTATGATTATACTTATGCGTTGCTTTCTATTTACTAGTCTTGATTCTTTCCTTTTCACTCACATTTTGCACAAGTTGGGGATCTTCATGGAAACAACTGCTCTACCATTTGGGGTAGAGGACAAGTCTATGTAGATCCCACCCGCAACCCTACTTAAGAGTGGGATATGCTCTTATGTATCAGTTAGTAGCGCTCAAGTATTTCAACTCATTTTGTCATAATTCTCCATTTTCACGATAGAACATTTTCCCATTGTCTTGTAGAGTTCCTACATGGAAAGGTACGTGCTTACTAGATCAAGTTTCTTGATCAAGTTTCTTCAAGAACATGGGAGTTACACATGGAGACCTAGCAATATAATGAATCATCAAATTTGGCAAGTACATCCAATTGAAGTTCATTTTGTCGTAAGATTGTACATGCATATGACGATACAACAAACAATATAGGCAAGTGAATATCCATGAAAATACATGTTTAAGAATGAAATGTGTTATGATTTTTGGTGTATAACCCACCTCACAAGCAATGAGTATGCCAAAATAAATCATGTTATTTATCGTTCAAAGCAATGATAAAATAGATAAGGTCGCATACAGGTGGAAATAATGACATTTCTATGTTAAATGGTACAAGTTTGCTAAATAGAGTCAAACGGAAGTTATAAGGAAGTCAGAGGTCTGCACGAAAACAACATCTCTGCCTCTTCGGATACAGAAAAGGTCTGCGGACATCCAAGCCCCAAACCCTACCTCCGTCGGGAAATGTTAGATATCTTTGGTTTGGATGGTTTGGTTTGGATGGTTTGGTTTAGTCAAAAGGAAGTTATAGGTATAGTAGTAGTCTACGTGTTAAAGTATCTCTTTTATGGGTATCTTACAGTCGATAGCCACCGTGAAAATCTATGTATCCAAGACGACAAGATATATATATATATACACATACATATATATAAGATCTGAATAACTTTTATGCTATGTTACTAACATACATTTTGCAACATAACTTTTATAAAAAGTTTTAGTCTATTTGTTTTAAAATATAAAAAAATAAGATATACAATTCCAAATACTAGTTCTGCTAATCAAGCTAAAATCAAGAATCCTAAAATATCCGGTATAACAATCAATCAATTGATTAGTGTTTCAACAAAGTAACATATTCCAAAACCAGGTTCTATCGGAGCATCCAAGAATTCAATTCCAATCAAGATAAATAAATGGAAAAAAATAGCATATGTATAACACATACTTGGACTGAGGCAAGAAAATGTTAGCAACTAAAACTAAGAGTTCTAATTTTTTATAACTAATTTTCAATTTGTAGTGTTAAATATGTGCTTAATTAGAAAGGTTGAGTAGTTGTAGATTTTTTATGCTACAAGTTAGTTTGCAAAAATGTGTGCTTTATACTAAGAGCTTAGGTGTTATGCTGTATAATGTTTATATGGTACATGTTTGATATAAACCTGTGTTATCCTTCTAAGTTATGAAAATTATTCAGAGAAGGTTGTGGTAAAGTTCAATAACAAATGGGTCCGATCAGGATCAGGGTCCATTAACTAATGGATCACATGAGATTGCTAGTTTATTCAATCTTTATCCAAATTAAACCCATTTCTTGACCTAGGTAGTAGTTCAAGTGCCTAGAACTGAAGAACATAGGAAGAATCATTGTTACTTGTTAGCGTGTGGAAAGTCGAGAGGCTTAAGTCAAAAACTCTGAATGCTCTCAAAATGTACATAACTAAGATATGAGACTGATTTGATGATGTATTGATGCTTATAAAAACTTTCCTACCTTGTTAAAGAATTTGGAGGGCCTTTGGATTACTAAACCAAAGTTTAGGACCTTTTAGGCCATTATGGGACAAGGGGATATGGGTGGTATGTGGGTTTGTGGAGGGCGTTCTCCATTCCAGCTCTTGGTATAACGACTCTTTTGGTGTGAGGGAAATAGATCAAACAAACAAGAAAACACAAAGGGAGAAAAGTTAGGACAAGTGTACAGCAAGCAAACAGGTCACAGAAGTAGATACAATAACCAAAAACTCTTTTCCTATGAGCAGCATCACAATTTCTATATCTGGTTTTATCCCAAGATAATAACCCAATTACTAATTGGAGTGGATTATGTCTACTAATAATTTCATACAATGAATCATGATATGACTGCTAGCTTTGAAGCAAACTCAAGGCTTGTTCCTAAAAAATAAATAGTTTTACCATTCATGAAAATACTTGCCGTAGAAAATAGACATAGAAAACTCAAGCAAACCCAAATAATTGGTTTTAAGATTTGAGAATATTAATGATCCAAGGGTAAACAACTCATATGACTTTGATCTTAAAAAGCACTAGGTTTGATGTCAAATTTTAGAGCACAACACCTTTTTGAGAATGAGAGCGCCATAGCAACCTTACACAGATCAACACTAGTAACAGCTCCATAACCATGAAAAAGATGGATCACATGGTACCTTTTTTCAACCCGGGGGACACATCGTCTCCAATAAACACGAGTGGAACATCAACCTTCAACAAAGCATGAGAAGGTGCTCTTACGAATGTAACATTAAGCACAGCATCTGTATCAGACTGAAGATGAAGCTGGCAGCAAAAATGAAAATTCAGTATTGAAGTAAGCCATAAAATGAAGACAGTAAAGATTTTCATATTTCCTTTACATTACACACTTACATCATAATATGAGTAAATCAATGGCCCTACTGAACACAGTATACCGGATTGGAGTTATAGCACAAAAGCATGATTTAAGTATAAGATCTGCAACCACTATGTCAAAAACTTATATCACACAATGGAGTTGACAGCCCATTCAAACTGAATTTAACATCCTTTCTATTGTGTAAAAATCATTTTAAGTTTTAACTGCTAAGCTCAACCATCTAATTTAATAACTGTAATAACACAATATCCCCTAACATTCTCCTAAACCCTTTATAGACCATCATTGATTGTTGCACCCTTTTCCCTTTCTTTTTCACCTTTCCCATCCTTTTTCACAAGTCGGAGGTCTTCACTGAAACAACCGCTCTACTTATGGGGGTAGAGGAAAGGTCTATGTGCATCCCACCCCCCAGACCCTACTTCCAAGTGGTCTGGTTTTCTAGAACAAATCCCCTCTGACAGCAGTAACTTCTCTTCTACTCATTCTTCCAGCACTCTATCCAAGAGCAGTAACTTTTTTTCTTTTTCCTTTTTCCCTTTGTCTATTTTCTTTTTTGTTTTCCAGCTGCTTATTCTTACTTCTGCACACACATTTTTTCACCAAGTCGGGGTCTTCAGGAAAAGGGTAGATGACAGGTCTGCATACCTCCCACCCCCCTGAGACCTGACTTGCAGTAGAATAATACTGGGTCAGATCGGGTTGGTTTGGTTAGCCCTGTTTCCGGAAAGAAATGGTAGCCCAAGATCAAGAGAATAAGATGCTACCTTGCTTAGGTCATTTAACATTTCAATATTTTCACTCTTTATATGGTATACAAAGAATTGAAGATGTGACTGTCCCATTCACTTGACAGATAACTAAGATAGAATCCACAACAAGGAGAATAGAGATAGAAGTGTATACGGCTAGCACATGTTTCACCTTAACTCTAAAATGGGTGACTGGTGCAGAAGGTTTCTCGGCTTTGCAAGGGTAGGAAGGGAAGTTTTGCACACCTTTCCATTTTTCCGAAATGGCATTTCTGTGGCTTGAAACCCATAACTATCCCAGAAAGTTCATGTAAAGGAGACAGTGCATGCAGCTAAGAAAAAATCCATGTGTCAGTAAGATTCCTACTGAGCACTGCTAGAATACTCTCAAAGGAATAATTACTTGGCCAATGCAATAAAATCCACTTTGCAAATCCTAAAACTAGAACTCTCTTTTGGTGAATTTGCTCGCATACACATGGATTCCTCGTAGAAGATGAAGCAATACCGAGTCATAGCTACTCTACTAATCTAGTAGTACTTGTCAGTTATCTCATAATCAGCAATTGGGTCCACCCTAGCCCTCTTCTATCAAACCCAGTATACCCTCCAACCAGTTTCCTCCGATATAGGTGTGCAAGAGCAATTATTAGTCGTCTACAGATTTGTTAAACCTAATTGAAGCAACAAATACATAATCACATGAAGGACAAATAATAAGTTGTCACTAAAGAAGCCAAATCAAACCATACTAAGCCCAGTGTAGATGACTTGGGGTGGGGTCTTCGGGAGTCGGATGTATGCAAACCTGACCTTTACTCCAGAGAGTAGAGCAATTTTCCGCAAATACCCCGACAAATTAAAACAATACCAACACCAAATATTATAATGCCTCTGTAGGAACTATATTTCTTTGTAAAATGATGCTGCTTCAAAAGTAGTAAAGTGGGATACAAGCAATGACATATTACATTGTGCACATTTGCAGAACTTCAACATTTCTAACTAAAATCACAATTTGATATCTTTAATGACTTGGTAAATTGCATACCGCTCGAGGCAAGACACGGACTTTCTCAATGATATCCTCGCTTTCGAGATCGGGCCGAACCTCAAGCTCAAAGAGGCGTGATAGAAAATAGGTTTGACCAAGATGATTTACAAGCTTCTTGATCTGATTGTTCTGGACGGATATGAGTCGTTTGTTACCTCCATGCTGACCGTCTTCTTGCTCAAACACAATGCTTGGCACACGTCCAGCCTTGCGCTCCTTAGCAGAGATGTTTTTCCCAGACAGTGCACGCGGCAATGCACAAATTATCTCATCGTGCTTGGGGTCTGGCTTGGGGAAACCTTCAAGATATGTGAGTGGGACTTCTTCATGATCTTGAACTAAAGCTGCAGCAGTGGAAGATTGTCTAAAATGCTGGAGAAGTAGGGCTCTAGTGAGCATTTGGCGAGGAGCCAACATCTTGTACCTGGGGTGCATGCTCCAAATTCGATTATTGATCATATAGATGAAAACAAGCATAAATACATCAAACTAAAACAAACAATGTCAACAAAATCCATGTACTTTGGTACTTATATACCACCTCCATTGAAAAAATACAGTGATGATTTGAAATTAGATATCTAAACTTCAAATATATCTACATTAAACATTATAACAAAAACACTAATACTTCAATAAAGAACACTTGTGTTCAGTGAGGTTTTGGGTTATGCGGAAATCACAAATACCCCCACCAAAACATGGATCAAAAGCCCTAATGCACCATAATATGCCATCTTTATATTCCACAAAGTAAAGTCACACTTTCAACTTTAAAATCGATATGAATCTTTCCTTGTAGAAGAAAAACTTGATAACTACAGCAAACAGTTAAATTGGCAAACCAAGCGGTGTAAATTAAGCAGTTAATAAAATAGAACTGGGGTTTCGATTGGATTCCTTGCCTGGTTTAGAGCCAAAATCTTCTTTGCTGGTAAAGCGACGGATTTCCAGCTTCAAAACCCTACGGACCGTCGTGTTTTTGTTTCTTAAACCTGCGAGAAAGGCCGCTGCACAAGTGAGTGAATTTGAGATGGACCATTTGGCCCCTATACTTTTACACTTATAACTTCCAACCACCCCATGGTTTACTTAAATTTGCATACTACCCCTGCTCCATTTTAAAAATGTACGTACATCAAAGTGTATTAGTTGTTATGTATACGTATACATCAAAGTGTATTAGTTGTTATGTACACGTATACATCAAAGTATGTTAGAAGGGTACTCATGCAATGCAGCGAGATAAATCTCGATTTTAATGTTTAGTTTTTATTCTTTGTCTCTATCGATATAATACGATTTTATGTGATTTTGAGAAAACGATAATGTTTTTATTTTAGATTTAAAATATAAAATTTGAAGATAGTATAAAAATTTGTAAAAAAAATAAATCGATAATAGTATCAAAATAACTATTTAATAGTTCTTGTTTTTTGGTGTAACTTATTTAATTCAATTTTTTATTATAATTTAATCTAGATCTAATAACAAAGTAATTTATTTTYGATTTAATAATATAATTTTTTATAAAGATAATAATTAAACATTTTGTTAGAACACAATCATTATTTTAATTATATTTTAGATTTTCTATATTTAAAATAGATGTTTACCCTGTATTTGATTATGTTTATCAGCAGTTAGTTATACGAATTTAAAAATAGAGTTTTAATAAGTTGTACTTACGTAAAATTACTTGTAATCTTAAATTTTAAGTAGTACTTCATGCATAAAAAATGGTTTTTAAGATTTTTTGTCAAATGTTTTATAATAGATGTATAGATTAGTTGTTATATATGTATAATGCACCAAGATGTAAAAACTTTAGTGTAAACTGACCGTGAAGATTTAATACATTTTAGTAAAAAGGAGATTTGGATCAAAATAAAAGTTACAGTTATCTATAATCATATATATATATATATATATGTATGTGTGTGTGTGTATAAATATGTCAAATGTTTTTTAATTTTGTTGAAACATGAGTTTCTGAATAGACAATGCCGGTCCTATGGTTTTGGATGTTCTGGATGGAGATTTAAAAAAAATGCTCCTAATCCAAGAAACAAAAAAATACACAAATTTTTAAAATGTTTGAAACCTAGTCAAGCTAAGCGGCTCATCCCCGTGCCAATTTTTATTGGAAAAAGRAAAAGTTACAACARGGGAAGATATAAACCAAAACCTCGAACAACTAGACAAATAGCTTGCTTATAGACAAGGGGGTTAGTAAACTTTAACTTAAAACACAACAAAGTAATTCAAGGCGGAATCTGGTTTGATCTCATAGAAGGTCAGGAGTTCAAACCTCGTCAAAGTTATGGAAGGTGTGTGAGTTWATTTGTCGTATATAAATATTTAGTAAAAGACAAAATAGTTGTGCCCGGATAGAGGAGCATGTGGAAGGTGCAATTCACATGCGGAAAACGAATAGAATTATGTGAAGATATAGTTTGCTAATTATRTCATAAAYGACACACACACAAAATGAAGAGAACACAAGAACAAAGGAGTGCTAGTTTGATACAAAACGCATTTTTGTTTACCAAAATGAACCAATCGCCCTCTAATTATACCATAGAAGCGAATAGCTAGTTATACTATATAAGTTTTAGAGAAGTTAAAAAAATCTTGACAAAGCAATGATACTCTCTTTCAAATAAAAGGATACCTTAATAAAATTCAAACCCCACAACTTTTCGTACAAATTTCTCAAAGACTCCACATGTTTCACTGTAGTTAATAAGTGAATAACCCTAATAACTAATAACCTAATAATCTAATCCGTGATCACTGATTATCAGAAAGAAAATACCCAACCGAGAATGGCACTAGGGTAGAACAAAAACCGCAGAAGCCAGATAGGGCAACAATCCGAGAGCGAGGGAGAATAGAGCATCAAGAGTATTGAGAGAAGAGGCGTTTTTTAGCACACGCGTGATAGGGCATGCCGTAGAGAGAGAAGCTGAACTTTTTTTTTTTTGAATTTTTTTAAAGGAACCTACTTAAGGCTATTTGTATCTTGGGTTGTGACAATTACAATTACGCTCTCCAAAAATGTACCTAGTTTTATAACAACTTAACAAAAAAGAAAGAAAAGTGCACTTGATTGAGGCATTTTGAAAGTATCGAACTCCTTTATAGGAAGAAGCCTAGTCCACCTGGTGTATGTTTTTTTAGAGGAGACAGGATTCCCAACAAATCAATTGAAATGGAAAAAATATACACCTAGTCGGCGCGGATTACCCACCCGAAACCCAAAAAAAGTAGTAGGAACACCCTCTGTACCAGATAACTAACAACCAAAATAAAGAAAGAGATGCTGAAACAAAAGACATAATAAACAAAATACAAATCATCAGCATCCCAAACACGCACCCATGCACCAACCCTCCAGCAAAATAGAGGATCTCCATAGACAAGCTAACAGAACCCACAATGCATCAACTAACTTGAGGCTTTACAAACGCATGACACACCCATACATCTTCATTGAAACCCTAAATGATCTCCTTGATAAGCTGCTTCACATCATGATTTTGTCCCATAAATAAACGCTATTATGCTCTTGTCAAATGTAATAGACGGTTGCAACCAAGCCCAATTAGCAAGAACAACTTCAGAACTCCATGGCGAACGATGCAAGCTAATATCAACAAGGATGAAAGACCAACGATCCACTACCATACCCAACCCAAACTCATTTTCAATCCTCCTCCGAGTTGAGTAAGAGCACTCGAAAAAGAGATGATCATGTGAGTCGCAACCCAGACTACACAACAAGCAACACATATCTGAAGGCTCCTCTTTCCAAATGAGCAAGTTATCCTAGTAGGAAGGTGTTGACGAAACGCCAACCGAAGACAAAAAGCATGCCTGGGAATATGCTTAAGAAACCAAACTAAGGTGTGTCAGACAACTACCAATAAAGGACTTTCTGACGTCTTCCACGCATCCTTAATCGTAAATTTAATAAGAAGCCTATTATTATTTATCCACATTACCTGGTCACGCCAATTTGGATGTAAAACCGAAACAGGAAATGCAGACAAAGCTCCAAATCTAAGTAGCCAATCCTGAGGGCAAACACCATGAAGGCTAGAGATGACAGCCTTAGCTAAAGAGATAGGAGAAAAGATCCTAATGATAGCCAAAAATCCTCCCATGGATTGGTATCACGACCATAACCAAGAACTGTAAAAGAAGAGGCCGAATAGATATACGCAAAGCAAACAACTTCCTCCACGTCCACGAACCATAAACAAAAGAAGAAGTTGTCCATAACAAATGTACCTATAACCGATGAGATGCACCCACCTAATCCAATGAGAGTTGCAACACCGAAGAATATCCCAAATATGACAAATGGGAAAAGTACGATTTCAGGCACCCAGACAACAAATACCCAAACCCCCATTCCTCTTCGGCTTACAAACCGCCTCCCAACAAACTCGAGCTTTCCCTTCAGAACTCAGTCTATTGCCCGACAAAAAATCCCTAAACAACCTCTCCACTTCATTAGTGATCGAAGTAGGCAGAAGGAAAACCGACATCTAATAAAGTTGCAAGGATTCAAGAACCGAACGCACCAATTGAAGCATAAAATTTCAATGTTAGTGATGCTTAATATTTTTATGTATATCATTTTTTTAGAATCAATTTTAATTTAGAGGAGGGATAAAATACAAACTAAGTCATTTGTATAAACCGTGAAAATCGTCGATTTCATTGTTTAATTTGGTAAAAAATGCATGAAATTGTTTCAAATAATTCATTTATTGATGAAATTGTTTCATATATTTTGATTTTTATGTAAAAATTAAATTGTTTCATGTATTTCTCATATTGATAAAATTTGTTTACTAAAATTAATAGAATGAAGATGATAATGTTCATAATTGATGCTCTTCACAATAAAAATAACTAATCAACCTTCATAATTAAAAAAAATTAAGAAAATGAAAAATTATGATTGGTTGAATGAGGTTTTCATGGTTTATACAAATGGTTTAGTTTGCATTTTATCTATCCCCAAACTTTATATATACTAGTTATATACCCCTATAGTAAAAACGTAAAATATTACTATAACTTGAGGATCCGAAATGAAAACTAAAATCAACCCAAATCCAGACCATAGTTGAACATGATCCAAATTTAACCAACAATAGATGAACTATAATTCAAACCCAAAATCAAAATCAAAATCAAAATATAACCTAAATCCATTTCCAAACCTTAATCAAGAACAAGAAGTTGCTTTTACGATCCATGTGGGTTTTGTTGGTCCAGATGTTACGAGAATTATATAAAATAAATCTCTCGGACTGTTAGCAAATGAAGATTAGTGCAAGTATACACTTATCAAGCCACTATCGTCTTTTATAAGTAATAAAGTGATAAAAATACCGAATATCGTCCACGGGGAAAAGAAATAAAAGTTCATTTTAACAGTTTAAATAAAGATATGATTTCAGATGGTGAATTCGAAGAAATATTTGTGGTGAGTTGGTTAAACACTATTGTTGTGAACAAGTAATAAAAGAGAGCTTAGGGTATAGGGATTTGTTAAGATAATAAACCGATCTTTAAGTAGACAGCATGCTATAACATGGTTCTATAACATGCTTTATAAATAACTTGTCTTTACAACTAATAGTTTTTTTAAGGTACTCTCTCGAGATGTAGAATGACACACAATCATAGATTAAGCCTTCATATCTCTATGCAAGGCTAGAGTCTCGACATTGGCTCAAACTATTCTTTATATAAGCTAAATGGAGTGAAAATGAGTCTCCTTGATTCTGAATAGCTCTCGAGCCTACTTCCATATCATTCAAGTTGACGTGTGCTTGTTGGTTTATCTCTAAATCCAACACACTTTAACACTTTTAAACAAGTGATCAACTTGTCCATGGATGATATTTTTGCAATAAAAACTTGAATGATGTAGTTGTAAAGATTTATA